AAAAAAAAATCGAGATATATATCTTATATCGCCATCCAGCTAAAAAATATCGAGATATGAATTTTGGGTCATATCGCCCAGCCCTTTCCTGTGAGACTGTTGTGAGTAGAGATGCTATGTACATCACTCACAGAAGCTAAACCAGACTTCAAACAATCCTTAATTTACCACTGTGGAATAAATGGCAAAGGTGATGGTTTTGATTTTAAAAAGCATAAAAGTTAATTTTGGGACAAACTTTTTAATCATGTTCATCAGATTTCATTTATATCTCTCATTGAAAATGAAATTATTTCAGATAATGCTACAAAGTAACTCAAAAAGATGAGCGCTGAATTGCAAGAACTTTAGCTAAACATGAATCATAGTCATTTTTCTTCTATATGTTGTACTTTTTTTCAGGATGTGAATTGGACTCCTGCAGAAACCTCACTAACAAAAAGCTTTTGTCATTATATTTGTACCTGCAGATATGGAGTGAACAAGCTGGAGGGAATGTTGCGTCCACTTGTGGATAATGGCTTGAAGTGTGTGCTGATTTTTGGTGTCCCGGCTAAAATAGCAAAGGTATGAAGAGCTAAAAACCTCCAGGTAGACTTTTTAAGTCATTTGTTAAAAGTTCATCAGTGAAAAGTTTCTGTTGGAAATGATTAGACTGGATTCACTTTGCTGATATTTTGTGCCTGAATGGGAGCAAATTCCTGAAGCCAGAAGCTTTCTGGAAAGCCTGACATCCTGCTATAGCTGGTTGTTACTGCCCGAAGATTTGTACTGACACGACTCAGTTCCCTCACACTTGGACTCGCTGATCTCTCATGCTTCCTCCTTCAGGATGAGAGGGGTTCAGGCGCCGACACCGACGATACACCGGCGGTACTGGCAGTCAAGAAAATCCGATCTTTGTTCCCGGAGCTGCTGGTGGCGTGTGATGTCTGTCTGTGTCCCTACACGTCACACGGACACTGTGGTCAGTGGCTTGTCCTCGTAAAGCAGCCTAAAGTTCATATATTTGTGCTGTCATATTATTTATTTATTTATTTATTTATTTGTTATTTTTCTTTGCAGGCATCCTGAATGATGATGGTGCACTGAACAATGATGCCAGCTGTCTGCGTTTGGCTGAAGTAGCGCTGGCGTACGCTCGTGCTGGTAATTCTTTACTTTGTTTTTTCATGATTGTGCTTGTTTTATTAGTGTGACAAACTGGAGGAAGCCTCCTCATCCTCTCCTTTCCTCTTCTTTTTTTATTTTTTATTTTTTTTATTTTATTAATGTAAGGCAAAGTTAAAGCCACACTATACTAGACTACATTTGGTGCACTAATCATCGCGTTGTATGTTGCTCTGCAGGTTGTCACATCATCGCTCCCTCTGATATGATGGATGGAAGAGTTAGAGCCATAAAACAAGCACTGATTTCCAATGGTTTGGGAAATAAGGTAAATGTATTAACTTTTATTAATATTTAGATGCAACTCAGAAACCTGCGACCTAGTCTCATAGTGTGGCTCATCAAAGTATAACCATTCGCCTGCGATCCTACCTTTTACTATTGGGAAAGAATGTGGAAAATGCTAAAAACTGAGAATGATGTTCCCTCCAGAGAATTTCAGAACAGATTTATTCTCCAGGAATAAATCAAGACTCATCAGGCCAGGCAACATTCTTCTTCTATTGTCCAATTTTGATGAACCCGTCCAAACTGTAGCCTTAGTATGGTCTTCTGCTGCTATTGTTCAGAGATGCTCTTCTGCATAACAAATAGTTATTTTTAGTCATTCTTATCAGCTGCAGGAGCTGGTGTTATACTCATGATACACAGACAGTGACTGGTAATTGGATTATGTCATTGTTATTTTTATATGGTGTTCATTTTGGCAGCAAATTGTGATTCAGATTTAGTCAGTGCCTTTTAGTCATTATTTAGGCATCTAAATTCTTTTAGTTTTAGTTGACTAAATATCATATGAGTTATAGTAGACTACATCCAAGAAGGTTCTCAGTCATCCAGGTCATCGTAGTCAAAGGAGCTTGCAAAGAAAAGCGTCTGGACTTCTTTAAGTTACTTGAAGATGTTTCACCTCTCATCAGAGAAGCTTCTTCAGTTCTGAGGTCAAATGGTGGAGAGTCCCAGATTTAATCCCAGTGGGAGTATCCCCCCAAAGAGGGGCAGAAGGACCCCCTGATGGTCCTCTAATCACATGAGCCAAGGTGTGAAACTGGGTGTGGGTCCCAATCAGCCAAGGTTTCGGGTGAGTTCATTGTGAAACCTGGCCCCACCTTATCATGCGATTTCCTGAGGTCAGATGGCCCAGGATATGAGTGGGCGTTAAGGCGTCTGGGGAGGGATCTCAAAACTGGATTATAGATGGCAGAGAGTTGGTGTCGTAAACCCCCGCCTCTGTTCAAAGATGGTCGCTCACAGTAGACATAGATGGCTTCTTTCACTCCTCTTTCAAACCATCTGTCCTCTCTGTCCAAAATGTGAACATTGGCATCCTCAAAAGAGTGTCCTTTATCCTTTAGATGCAGATGGACTGCTGAGTCTTGTCCTGTGGAGGTGGCTCTTCTGTGTTGTGCCATGCGCTTGTGAAGTGGCTGTTTGGTCTCTCTGATGTAGAGGCCTCTCCCTCCATCCAACCTCACAATACAAGAAAAGAAGGAACTCTGGGACTCTCCGCCATTTGACCTTAGAACTGAAGAAGCTTCTCTGATGAGAGGTGAAACGTCTTCAAGCAACTTAAAGAAGTCCAGACGCTTTTCTTTGAAAGCTCCTTTGACTAATGTTAACGTTTGTTTACCAGAGAGAGTTGTGCCACATGGTTTACCAAGAGTCTTATTTTCCTTGACACCAAATCAAAATGTGTCCATACTTCTACTCTTCTCTTCCTCCCAAGCATTGACATTTTGTCATGTTTCCATGAGGAACGGGGAGCATGGGAACTCCCACCCTGTTTGTCAGGAGCTGATCACATTGTGCGCGTCTGACCTTTCTGCACAATGAGATTACTTCTGATTGGATCACTTCCAAACTCGTCCCGCCTTCCTACACATCTTAATTAGTTGTGATTGGCTCTCGTCTCTCCAGACCGTTTTCATCCTGTTGTTATTCATCTACGAAATTGTCAATACTCTTCATCAGTTTTTGTCCCCGTGCAACTGTTTTTTATGTCATCAGGTGGGAAAAAAGGTTCTTGACAAAAACTGTAATAAAATAAAATCTTCTTGAATTTTTTTGTTTTTTCTTCTTTGTTTTCAGGTTTCAGTGCTGAGCTACAGTGCAAAGTTTGCTTCTTGCTATTATGGTCCCTTCAGGTAAGTGAACTTCAAACTGCATTGTTAACAGATCAGTCAAGGGGCACTTTGAAGTGAGAAGAGGCCTAACCCCACCCCTTGCTGTGTTCATATACAGGGATGCTGCACAGTCGAAGCCTGCATTCGGGGACAGACGCTGCTATCAGCTGCCTCCTGGCGCGCGAGGGCTCGCCATCAGAGCTGTGGTAAATGATTTGTGAACACATCTGTTTGGCAAAAAAGTTTTTACACTCAAACACTTGTTGGGTATCCTGAGCTGTTGGTCTGTGCTGCAGGAGCGAGATGTGAGAGAAGGTGCGGACATGCTGATGGTGAAGCCGGGTCTGCCATATCTGGACATCATGAGGGAAGTCAAAGACAAGGTGAGCAGCTATATTTCATGTACCAGTCCAGTGAGGGTGGGAGAATTCAAATAAAGCATACTTAAAATTCCTTCAGTTAATTAGCAACATTTTAAAATATTAAATGTTCTTTGGTTTCCTCGCCTCAGTTCCCCACTCACCCCTTGGCAGTGTACAATGTGTCTGGGGAGTTTGCTATGATATGGCATGGCGCGCAGGCTGGAGCGTTTGACTTGAAAGCGGCTGTGATGGAGGCCATGACAGCGTTCCGCAGGGCAGGTGAGACCCTCTGACAGTGTTTAATTACCTCAAAGAAAACCTCTTAATGTGCAGAACACTGCGCTTTTAAAGCCCCAGTCTGATGTTACAGGTGCTATTTTTAACCTCTGTTTATGTTTTATTTTTTCAGACAACAGTAGATACAGTTAGGCTAGTAAGTGTTTTGGCAGTGACACTAGTTTACCTGTTTATTTTTTCCTTTGTACTCCACCACAGTGTATTTTAAATCAGCCCATCCAGATGTGCCTGAAGTACAGACTTTCAGCTTTATTTCAAGGGATTTAACGATAGTTTAACTATCTTTTGATAACTTTTGGTCTCTTTACTTTTTACCCCTCAACTGTAAAAGGTATATGGGGTTTTGAGCAATGTGAACACCAAAGTTTGTGTAGTGTGTGACATAAGACTTTCAGATTGATGCCATAGGAGTATCTACTAATAGGCCACTGCCAATACTTTTTTACTTTTAGAGTTATTAAATTTGTGAATACCCTTAAATGACGGCTGGTTTTTACCCCAGAGCAAAAATAAGAAGCAGGTGATCTCTGTACAGGAACGTTTAATATTCACCATCTTGTAAAATATGATCACAAGCTGCTCTGAATCATTTTTCTTTCATTTAGCTAGCTGCTTACTTTTCACGTTGATGCAGTCTGTGGTGAAAGGGACCAGGATGAGTCCACAGCAGTCAGCTAAATTAAGAGGAAGCTAAAGTAACAGCAGAATACAGATAACACATTTAGCTTGATGCAGTCTTTGAATTTCTTGTAAACTGGTAAAGACTGACAGCACCCATCCTGTCTCTCTAGCAGCAGTACCTGCAGCATGCAGGGGTGAGTCTAAAGGGAGGCACAGAAGTTACACTGCTACATGTATTTTAAAGCTTTATTTACTTTTCTTCATCCATTACCTGCTGCTTATTTGGGTCCTTTCATTGGTACGGCACTCTAAGAATAGATTCCCAGCCACTACCTCTATCTCTTCCACCCAACCCGGGATGGATGCTTGAAGACACTCCACGTTGTAGCTTGGGCATGGCTGTGCTCAGCCTGAAAGTGTGAGGTTAGCCCACCACCCGCAGGAGGAGCTGCAGGGTCTGATGCAGTGTGGTCTAATCCCCAGTTACCAATATAAAGCGCCTTGAGGCGACTGTTGTGATCTGGCGCTATATAAATAAAATTGAATTGAATTAATATATATTTTTATATTAGAAAATATACATCTAATAATGTACTATTCTCATAGATTAGGCTAGCAGCAATTAAATCTGCTTTCTTGTGGGTCAGTAACAATCTGGTGTTCTGGTCTGGGCCCAAGTGAGGGGAAAAATTACATCCAGTTTCTATGTAGCTTTAATTAAGTGTTAGTTCTGCTCTGGATTTGGCTAATATTAATAGCTTCTCCTTGCTCTTTGATGTAGGCGCTGACATCATCATCACCTACTACACACCTCAGCTGCTCACCTGGCTGAAGGAGTGAAGAGAGATGATCTGGACCAGAACAGAGGTGGACCAACTGACAGGGCATGCTCGCTAAAAATCCCTTTAAGGGGGAAAAATGAATAAAATCCACAAATTGTGATCCGTTTTGGGCCTTTTTCTAATGTTTATGGTCAGTTTCATGATAGCAACTCAAATGGCAAACTGCACATGTATCCACTGATACAGTATCATATATACCTGTCTGAGCTTATCAGGGGCTGATATGGAGCCGAACGCTGAGAGTGTAAATGCAGATTTTTCATTGTGACTTCTGGGTGTGTAGGATCAGTGTTAAATAAAGGCAGTTATCTCTACTAACCGTATATCTGTATGAATCATCCTAAAATGTCTGATATATGTGAAGTATTTCCAGAGAAAATAAAGTCATTCACTCGGATCTGTAACTGTGTGCATTATTTTTAGTCTTGTTTTTGTTTTTCCTGCTATGATTACACAAGTAATATGATTGCACCACTACTCTCATTACATAGGTACTTGATTACATAGGTAATCTGATTGTATGAGTACTCTGATTACTGCATTACTCTGATTACCCAAGTACTCAGATTATCTAGTAATCTTATTACCTAAGTACTTTACTCTATTAGTTTTACCCAGTTACACTGATTACCTGAGTAATTTGATTACAATAATTATGAGAGTAGTGGTGCAATCCGATTACCTGTGTAATCAGAGTAATCACATTACCCGAGTACTCTGATTACAGCTTTACTCTGACTACACATTACTGATTACTACCAACTTTTTAGTTACAGCAAGCCACAGACCAAGTCCAGCAATTTATCCAGAAACTTTGTTGTCTAGTAACAAAAATATACTCCTAACTCTAAAGTCGGGGGCTGGCTGGTTGATTTGTTTAACTTAATAAATTTGTTTAACTTAATAAATTTGCCTTGCCTTAATATCGCTACATAAAGTCAATTGACACCTACATTGAGCTTTATTGTTTTTTACTTTTATTTAATTTTCTGAGTTTCATCTTGTTTTCTGGGTGATATCGGAGCAGTAGGAATAATCAGAGCAGAGCGCCTGCAGTGTTTCTGGTCTATGGTGATGATTTTTGAAAGATTATGTCTTAAAGGAAGGAGACAAACCTGCTGCTTTTTCTGTGAGTTTTTTTTTTTAAATTGAATTGTATTTCTAACATACTACTATTCAATAAACATTTCTGTTATAATGATTATGCCAAACACGCAAAATTAATTCTATGGTTGTTTTTGCAGCGTATAAACACCTTGACTGCTGTCTTTTGAGTCGCAGAAAAGCTGTTCAATGAATCATGAATGTCTAATTCAAGGTGCTGCAGTGTGGGTAGAGGTGATCACAGCTGGGCAGAAAAAACCCCCTGTAAGAAGCAGCATTAAAACAGCAAACAGCTATTTTAATTGCTGCATATGACCTCTCCCTGCCTCTTCACAAGCCACATTTTCAGCCACAAGTGTCAACCTTACTACAACAATTGCAAAAAATAATTAAAAGAACTAAACTTAAACTAGAGGTGGCCAGAGCGATCCAAATATCGATAGTATCGATACCAACACTACTATTGGTATCAAATTGATACTAGGAAGTTCAGTATGCAGCCTGCTGAACTGTGTTAATTATATCTTTGGACCAAATAAACCTCAAACATGCGCTATGAAAATTGTGTTGTTTAGAGACCGTAAGGTTTACATTCCAGGTCTCCAAAATTCCAGTTTCAAAACACATGAAAAGCTGAAAGGTGTGTTTTGTTGTGTTAACTAATTATTGTGGACAGTAACAATCACAGTGATATACTGGTGATTAAATTGTGTTCAGAATTTGCAAATTGAGAATTCATCTCATAAGTCATAGCACACTATACTCGCCCAATTAGCTGCCTGAATAACCTTGGCAACACTGGCCCTGTATTTTCTTGGTATTGGATCGATACCAAAATTTGTAGTGTGGCACAGCACCACTGTGAATGAGGGAAAGTATGAATATTGAATGTTTTTGTTGAAATGTCCAGGCAAGTATATACATGTTAAATGACAAGATATATGTGTTCAAGGAGCGTCAATTAACACACAACTTCAGGTCTTTTGATTTCTATATGATAATTCTTCATAATTAAACAATAAGAAGAAGTAGTCTGATGTCCTGTAACCATTTTGAAATACAATAGCACATTAAGTATCGGTTTCGGGTCAGTATCGTCGATACCACCCTGATTTTTACTTGGTATCGGATTGGACAGGAAATCAGTGGTATCGCACGTCGATAAATTAAACATTAATGAATCATTCATTTATCATTTTCAAAAGCAGTGATGAAGAGCCTGAATTGTCTTGAAGAAAATACAGTATGTGTGTAGCTTTTCAAAAACAAAACAAAGTGTTGGACATTTTATTCATTTTAACATTAAATTTCATTCATAGCTTTTCTTGGACCCTGTCCACGATGCTTGATGAGTATATCTATAAAATATCTATAATAAGCATAAAGTAAACACTATATCTGCTTATCTACTACTTCAATGTGGGAGAAGAGGTTTTTTCCATATAGCCTCACATTTTCAGTTTTTGAACTCCCTTAACATGAAAATATTCATTATTTTACACATATAAGGAACCTTTTTACTCCATTTTCATCAACACAAGGCCCTCTTGCAGAAGGGCTGGCCCACCCTTTGCTGTACACAGAGACGATTTTAAGGAATTTTGACCCCAAGATGGAGCTTCAAACCATATTTGAACCTTACTTGGCTGAGTTTAGGGGAAAAATACTGCTTTTTTAGGTTCTTGGTTCCCTCGGACAACTTTAATCACGTTGACTTTAACTCAAGTGCTTAAGACATCCGTGGGTGCTATAGGAGCACCTATAGGAGGTGCTTGGAAACCCACTGTTTTTGTGTGCACCATTGAACTTTCTATTTTCTTCCATGACTTTTATTTTTTGGATTTTAATCCTTAGTTAGGTGGAACTGAAAACTATCCACTTCTACTGAAAATTAAAAAGATAAGGTGACAGGTGACAGATGTAGGCTGGATGGTTAATCAAAATGTAATGTTAAAAAAGTATAACTGTTCGTGTCCCATACTATACTAGCAGCCTGTCTCCTGGGAATCTTTTTAATGCCTGGAAAGAATTCTGTGACGTTTTATACAAACACTCATTTTACCAAGTGAATCAAATTTTGCTGATTCCCTGTTGTGACCAGAATCCAACAAGCAAAACACGGACAAAGAGTATGTTTACTTTACTTAAAACAGGAACAATTTACCCTTCCAAGAGTTTCCCTGTAAATACACACTAGTAATGCACATGAGATACAAAGTGAAAAGCAAAAACAACCAAAAATTATAAACTTAAAAGCTAAGGAGAATTTAAAAAACCTGAAAAAGTTGTAGTTTGGGGCCACAAACAGGAGCAGCAACATTCAGGTGTAACATCTGCAGACTGAAGTGACTTCACCAGCTCACCTGAAAGACCTTAAATCAGTTTAGTAACACCAGCACCTTAAAACTGGCACAGTTTGAGCAGCCTCAAGAACAGTCCCAAACTTATTCCTTCTAAACATGCTTGCTCTGTAATATGTGACACGGCAGGCAGGGGGCGACCTAACTCCGCTTTTTAATGGGCTGTTTCTTCATACACTGCAAAAAATACCAAATATTTTAACAGGCGATTTGACGTGTTTGGATTTGTCATCTTCTGTGAACACTTCACGTGTATAAGCGTGACTCAGGGCACCTTCTTCTTCTTCCTGATGCAGTTCGTTTTACTTCATCTTTCCAAGCACATAAGTGACAGTCAGAGTCTGCCGTGTTTCGTTTAAGTGGGCACAATGAGGTTTTTTAGATTTCAAATGTATTATAAACTGTATCGGAATTATCTTAAATCAGTGAAACATTAAAAATGACCTGAATAAAGGAAATAAACAGGTCACGCTGATTTATTGACACTGTAGGGCGCACTTCTTGCAGTGTGTGACGTGTGGGGGCCGAGCAGAGGGCTGCTCTGATTTAACTTGGAGTCATCTGGATGTGTGTTATCACTCTCCGAGAGACTGTCAGCGTAAGGATTGCGCAGCGCTGGAAAAGTCACTTTGGAAGTACCACGAGTTCACTAGCGGTGGATTTTTACGCATCGGAGACGCATGGCACAACCGGACTGCCATGACAAGATGACGCATTTACCGACTCTGTGGCACTTGTGATTGAGAAAGAGAGCGAGAGAGAGAGAGAAGGAGACAGAGTGAGGCAGACGGTTTGGTGTCAGGTTGCCACATCCGGCCGTGTCTTCTCTCCAAACAGTGCGCTCTCCGTTGCCGTGCGCTTTCTCTTTGAGACGAGAAATGGGATGCAGAGGCGCGCTGGGATGCTGCGTGCTCGCTGCACTGTCTTGCTGCCTCCTCCCCGGCTGCAGAGGCAACATAACCGTGGCCGTGATGCTCCCGGACAACCACCAGAAGTACCCGTGGGCTCTTCCGCGCGTCTTCCCGGCACTCCTCATGGCGCACGAGGACCTGCACGTCAAACACAAGCTTCTGCTCGACCGCTCCATCAACATCTTGAACTACAGCACGGAGGACCCCGCCGCGGGATCTTGCGCCGAGAGCCGGGCGCAAGTAGTGGCCGTGGACGCCAAGCTATACATCCGCCCGGACGCCTTCTTCGGACCCGGGTGCGTGTACCCGCTTGCCTCCGTGGGGCGATTCGCATCCCACTGGAAAATCCCGCTAATCACCGCTGGTGGACCCGCGTACGGCTTCGACAAGCGGGAGGAGTACCGGACCATTGTGCGCAGCGGACCGTCCACCACAAAGCTGGGGGACTTCGCCAACGTCCTGCACACGCACTTTAACTGGACGTCCCGGGCAGTGGTGATATTCTACGACCGGCGGCAGGACGACCGGCCGCACTACTTCCTCTCTGAGGGGATTTACCTGAACCTGAAGGAGCAGATGAACATTACAGTGGGGGCCCACCCGTACCAGGAGGACTACAAGTACCACAAGGATGTCATTACTTTTATCAAGGAGAGCGGGAGAAGTAAGTTCATGCTGAGGGAGGTGTGATTAAAAGTTTGAAATCTGGGAAGTTAAAAAATGGGTATCTTACAAACCAACAGAAACAGCAGCTCTAAAAGAGTATGATTAAAAAACCCCAAAAGATTTATTT